GCCTCCGCAGGAGCGCCTGCCTTTGCTGCTGCCTCGCCTTCTGCTGCCTTCGCCGCAGGTGCTGCCTCCGCTTTTGGTGCAGGCTCTGCTGCCTTCTTAGGCAACAAACTCAGCGACTTCTTCGGGAGCAAAGCGGGACCAGCATGCGATGCAGGAGCTATCTCGTCCTTTGGTTCAACCTTAGGTTGTACATCTGCCGGTTGTGTCTGGGCATCAGTTGCTTTTGCTGCTTGGTGCTGCTGTTCTTGCTGCTCGGCGCTGGTAATATCATCGTGGATTTGGGCTTTGAGTAAGGCAGGTTTTAACTGCGCCGTTTGTGCCGCCGTCGTATCGGCGGGCATTGGTTTAAGCTTGGCATCGGATGCTACTGGAACGTTGGTTGCGGCTAAAGGTGTCACGGTTTGTTGCTGTTGCAGCTGTTGGGACTTCGGCGTTGCATCCTCGTTCTCCAGCGGTTGCACCCCATCTAACTGTGTCCACCGTGCGGGTGGCTGCTCCTTCGCTCTATCTGTAGCTAGAGCGGAAACATCCTTCAGACTGCCCATCGAGGGTTTTCTTAGCTGGAACGCCTCCGGAGGCTCTTTTACTTGTTCTTTTGGCGCCGCTGCCCGCGGGGAGGACTTTCCTGTCAGGTAACATCGCAGTAAACACGAATTCAGAGATGCTTCAAATGCTTCTTTCCTGTGCAACTTTCTTGTTTCATCTCCCAGTGGAAATTATACATTTATACCGCGTTCTCATAGTGGAAAACTTGGTTACAGACTCCAGTAGGTGCCCTCGCAACAGTGCCATGCAACTGCACCCGAAACCACTCAACTGCGGAGCTTACCGCGGATAGGGCGGCCTCCTTCATCAGGGCTCCCGCTCTCAGTGGCCTGATCCTTGGTTTCCGGAACCGCTGACCGTCCGAATGACTGCGAAGCAGCAGCAAGAATTTTCGCGTCTCCCGTTTTGGAGCTGCTGCTCTCGTCTCTACTCTCTAATTCAGAAAGATCCTTAGCCAACTTTACGCCGGCACCTGAACACACAAGCGCTACAGTTACAGTACAAGTGAGCTTCTACGGCAGTACAGAGCGATTCCAGCCCCTAGTCTCACAAAGCGTGGGCCCCATGCACCCCTTAATCGCCCAGCTGCATCTTACGTGAGTCTATGATGTCCGATATCAGCCCAGAGCATACGTCCACGGGCACCTCGCCGCTAGCTGGCGCCTGCAAGCAGAAAGTTCCAAAAGTAGCACTGGGTTCGCATCGAACTGGCGAAGAACAGTATATATAGCAACTATGACATCTATGTTCAATTCGACTTTTTTATGAAGCATCAGGGAGTGTAACGTTCTTGCAAGACGCACCTTTCTAGATGCAGCCAGTTGAAGCTGTAAGTCTTCTATCCTTCTTTGAATCGACTCAACGATTGACAAGAGTCTACACGCCCAAGCAAGTTCAAGACAGCAACCCTAAACCATAAATTCTAAAGCCCAAATCATAGAACACTACTGCTCGAGTACTAGCGCATTGACACGCGCCAGCTGCGTAGGACCCCTACTGTCCGGCAGGCGGAAAAATCACAAATTCTCCTATGGCTGGACAGCATCGCCCTACCTCTCATTCTCCTCCTTCAAGTGCTTCGTTTCCTCCTTAAAGCCCTCCTGAATGGCCTTACAGTGTTCCCGCGCGGCCTGCGCAGACATAGTGTCATAACTTGCATGACCGCGTGCATACGGCAGCGGCTCAACCATTGCACAGACAATTGACTTCTTCTGGGAACAGCAGGGTAGCTATCCACTGTTCTTGGTTTTCTTACCTTTAGCTCCATAGCGAGAAGCCGAGAGCGGGAAGACAGCATCTGCCCGTCGAGCACATCGCGCAGTGACGTGTCCAGCTCGATGGGCAGCTGGCTCTCCACGATATTCTCAGCTTCCCTTCCTGGCGTCCTGACCTTTTCAGTCGCCATTCCTGTTTCATCGTGCGCCGCATCAGGCTTTGAACCTAGAATTGTCTGCACCCGAGGCACAGGCGGCGCCACGCTCTGGGATCGCCCTTGCATCACCAACACAGGTATCGGTGCCCTGGCGCCGCGTCCTGACGGACTGCGTCCTCCAGATGAAGGGGAATTGCAGGAGATACTCCGTTGCTCGGAAGCTGGGGTTGCATTCCCTGAGCTGCTAGCAGCATTTGACTTCAGGTATCTGCAGCAAATCACCAGCAGCGACGCAGCGGTGACCAAATGATCTGTAAATAAGAGAGGCATTCAGGCAAGCATGCAATTCACGGCGACTGAATAACACAGGGGAAACAACGGGTATAGCACAAGAAAGAGACACCAAGCCCAGACACGTGGTGTGGCTGGGCCCCATCTAGGCGTAAAAAGCATATAGCCGGTTGCAGGGCAGCAACTAGGAAGTAGGGGCAAAAGCAAAAAAGCCTCACATCTGTCCATTTGGGCCCACGAGACAGGCCATTTGTCCTCCACCCTGCAGCGCACAAAAGGACACACCACACAAAAAGTAAAAGCCCCCTTTGGTTGCTTGCTGCAGATGCTGGGGAGAACGAACGGATACTGCAACACGCAGTTGCTGCCTGCGAGGTATGCTGCAGACAGAATGAGGGCTCCACTTGATTTAGAGCCGAAACAAAGGTCGGGTGGGATCTTGAAAGAACCCTTGACACCATCGGCGCAGCGAAGGGTGGCAAGCATACTTACATTGTTTTGCGCTGCGAACGCTGCGTATGACACTGTTGGTTGAGTAGCTGCACCAGTCCCTACTACTGTTCCTGTTCCTGCTGCTCTCCCTGCTGCTGCTGCTGCTGTTGCTGCTGGTGCTGCCGTTTCTGTTGGTGTTTTTACACATGGGACCTGAATGATGTACGCGGGTAATTGGCCCGAAGGGGCAACTCCTTGCACGGACTGGGCGGTGGAGATCACGGGAGTCGGGGCTTGCGCCCTCAAAACTGGAGCCACGAAAGGGCCTTCTCCTGGCTTGCTGAAAGGGACAACTGCAGCTCTGACGAGCGGGTATTGAGGAGAAGGCTGCGTCTGCTGTGCCTGGGTGAACGAAGACATCTGTGCGGCACCGGCAGCCGCCGTTTGGCTCACTGGACTACGACCACGCTCAGGTACACGGGGGACTGCTGTTGACGAGAGAACAACAGGCACAGTGCCAATGAGGCCTGGCTGTCTCGGAAAACTGGTGGCTGTGCCGGCCGGGAGGCGACCACTGGACACGCTGCGGCCTGGTCTGGGAAGGCCTGCGGCTTCCGGCCCGAGGGGCCTCAATGGGGGACATGTTTGCTTGGGAGCCGCGGGCTTCGGAGCTGGAGGCTTAATTGCTTTTGGAGCGCTGAGACCCAAGAAGACCCTGCATGGAAGCATGCAGTCACTGCAGTTAGCACACTGCTGGCTGCGGGTGGTGTCCATGGCGCTGGCAAGGGGCCCCTGGACCCAAGGAGCCCCTTGCCGAGCAGCCGCAACCTCCGCTGCATGTGCTAGATCTAGTTGAGGTACATGGGTCTGGTTGTTGCTGTTGCTTCTCCCGCCGTTGTGTGCACTGGGCAAGGGAACAGGGCTTGACTTCGGTGGAACGGCGCTTCCGTTGCGGGTACTTCGGCTTGAAGGCCCCATTCTTCCTACAGGTTTTGTATAAAACAGCAGCTGAAGTGGCACAGAAAGAAGTCCTGGGCAAGGTAGATGTGCAGCCTCTCGGGGGACAGCTGGCTGAGGCGCCTTAGGCCTGAGCGTGGCGTGTGTTCGTCCCTGGGGCAGACAGTACGCCCTCAAGCCGTAAAATAAATAAAGTTTCTAAGAAATACGTGAAATGTGTATCTAGAGGAACATGTATGCAGCTATCATTCTCGGGAAACGGCGCATACTGGGGCTACGACACCACTGTGCAAGAACTGGACTGCCCACGCCACTGGTGCTCCGCCTGCACCGGCAACGGCCTGGGCCAAAGAGTCGACGCAGTGGAAAAAGTTCTTTAGATATTCTTGAAAACCAGAAATTATGATTTGCTTCAACAACCTGGAGAACTGCAATTAGGGTATTGAAACAGCAACTTGCAAAAGAAGACGGCACACACGGGCACCATTGCGGGCCAGCTGCTTCCATCGATACACAATCCCCGACATGACGGCTACCAGGAAAACCGAGATTTACTAATTATAGGGATATGCATTACACTCCTTATGTCTGTAATGTGCTTCCGCACTACAGTCCCCAAGTTCCAGCTAATCAAATCGGCCGGCAGTATGCGTGTGCCTGGAGCCGGTGAGTGTCAAATGATTACCGACTGCAGAAAGTCACAGACCCTCGCCTCCGGAGTTCCTTCCACCTCCTTGGGAATTCATCGAAGATATTCGAGCGTCAGAAGGTCCTGTAACCCCACACCTACAGCCCCAATAAGAACATCAGCTCTCCCCACGCCGCCCACTGTCTGCAGTTGGTGAAGCACAGTTTATACAGGCACCCAGCAAGCTGCAGTGCACCCTGCCGTACAGCTCACTACAAACGTAGGGCCTGTTCAGGTGTCGATCAAGAAACGACAGGAGGCAGAAAGATGTGAACTGGCATGTGTAACATTGCTCTCCATAAGTAGGTATACGTACTTATTTCTATGGGTGTGCTGGCTAATATAACTTTATTCCAGCTTAGAACTGTCGTAAGCTACTGTGTACAATTACTATTACGAAGTTCGCTTCCAGGAAAAGCCAATAACTCTTGAGGCTCCAGTGAACTAGATACGCATGTGGCTGGTGGAGCAACTGGCTTTTGCAGTGCACCCCCTGCTTGAGGGTTTTTCGCGGCTTTTGCTGCTGACATTCGGGAAGAGGGGGGCATTCCCTTCCTGATGGGCGCGTTTTAGGCCAACAAAAAGAAATTGCTAATCGTTCCGCTGATATATTGACTTCCTAGAGCATGATCTTACAATTCGCGCTAAAGATCTGTGCAAACGAAAGAAGACACGTGTTGTCTGCGGACTCAACGCTTCAGTTGGCGCCACAAGAGGTCAGTTTCAACGGTATATTGCTTAACCCGTAGCCTGTTTGTCAGGTTAGCGAGAACCGCGGCCACATGTGTGTCTATGTAGTGAATACTCACTACAGCAACGGCAACAATGCCTTGCTCGTTGAGAAATCAGCGAGGGTTGTATGAACAGTAGAAGAATCTGCGAATGCTTAATGATGTACATTGAGTTAAACATTGGTGATTGCATTTAACCTTCAATATGAAGTGACCATTGGTATGACTGTAGGAAAGGCTGACATGAGCCTTGGTGCAAAAGGTATTGCAACATGCTACGGCGTCCCCTCTCCCAGCCCCAAATGCTGCAGCGCCGGCTCTAGTGGGGTTGCAAAACAGAACTCTGAAGAAGAGACTGAGAGAAGTAATTTCCTTTAACCTTTATTAGTTTGTTATGTTGTTGTACAAGTGTGATAGCTAATGCCTGCCGGCCCGCTATACACAGCTGTAGGGTTCTTTGGATGCGCCCCACAGTAGTCCTTCAGAGATACAACCTAATAATACGTAAAGCTGAAGGCAGAAATTTATACTAAGGAGAAATGCTTTACGTTGTCTTGAACAGATCTCAGCATAGCATGTGAGGGACTGAGGGCTCGCCCCATAGCTCATCAGCTTACTGGGCCCGCAGTGTAACGCTTGTTCTCTGGCCTTTATCTGGCCAGAGACGAGCCGCAATGTATGCAAAGAGTTAAAGCAAGAGTTTCCCAAAAGCAGCTGACCTCCTTCCCCGTCCCTAGGTATCCTGGGCGTTGAGCTCAGGGCCTGGGTGTTGCGGGGAGGAGGCAGCCAGAAATGGGATGCAGCGCACCCCGCTGCGGCTGGTGGTGCAAGCCAGCCCCACGCGTGCACGTAAGGAAGCTTCAGGGAAGCTTCCTTTGCTGNCTTCCTTTGCTGTATGCTTTGCCTCTGAACGAACTTGTAGAAGGTTTGCAAGCGCTTACACGCAGCGTGCTAGAACCGTCGGAAGGCTCCTGCGCTAACTCTGCGCTAACTCATGCTACATCTGCCCCCGCATCAACGAAAGGTGCACGTCCTGGTGCGCAGATGGTCATGTTGAGCTTGGTGGGCTGCTGTTGGAGCGGCAGCTCTTGGCGCTGCTGCGGCTGCTGCTGTTCTCCTCACCGATGCCCGTCCTGTCGATGATACGAGGGAAGAGGATAAAAAAGGGCCGTATACGGGTGTGAAATTGAGTCATGGGGAGGGAGAAGTGCCATCAGCGTGTCGGTCGCCGCATCTGACTCAAACGGTGAGTCATGATGCAGCGTCGGCCCCGCTGCCACAACGGTGCCTCGGCACCGGCTGACCGCGCTGGTTCGCAAGGGCAGCCCGACTAAACCTAGGATGTGCGGAAAAATAAGCACAAAAGAAGAGTGGTCGAGCCTGCAGAGCAAAACTGCTGTGATGCCGGCCCAACCAGCTCCTCTGCACGTAAATAGCCACCGGCGCGCTTGACGCCGCTCCCGGCGTTGCCGCCGAGTGTAAAAGTGCGAAAGCAGCTGCTTTCCGGTAACTGCCGTGTTGCTCACGCGTCAGGTGGTCGATTTGGGGTTACTGCCTCCCGTCTCACCACTCCGGGTCGGTGCCGACTGGGGCTCCCGGGAAAGCCACAAGAAAGCCCCAACGGTTGTGCCCAACCCCACTACGCAAAGGTACAGCTAGTCGTCTGTGCCTTCCCGCGACCTACCGCGCCGTGTGCGGGAGGGAAGATACGAGTAGGGAGGCAACGTAGTTAGCCTCCAGGGGTATCGGGGTAGAAAAATTTAAGAATTTGCAGGGATCTGAGTAGGGATCCACGAAGCTCTAGCCGCCCATTACCCACTCCCGCGACCTGCCTGCATGCGCACACTAGGTGTAGTTGGTGCGAGATCAAGGAGAGCACTTAGTTGTTCGGGGGGGATCGCTTCCCGTAATTGATCCTCCGAAACTCACTTGGGATCGCGTCTGCCCGGCCATTTGGCGTAATATTCGCGTTTCCGATGGCCGCAGCGTGCGTTAACCCGCGCCTCGAGAATCTCTGTGTCCTCGAGGTGGGGAAGCTCGCAAAGTCGTTTCTGCGGTTTCCTCGCTAGAGTGCGAGGAAACCGCGGAGATTCCCGAAACTGTTTCAAGAAGCCCACGTTACTAGTGTGGTGACATCTCCACGTAGGTGGTAAATCGATGATGTACGCCAACGCGTTGATCCGAGAGCGGACTGCAAACGGTCCAACCCATCGTGTGGCGAACTTTCTGGGTTGCTCGCCCACCTGCGCGCTACGAAGGGCGTGCGAATCCACTAGAACCAAGTCGCCCAGATTGAAACTGACTGGAGAACGTCGTTTGTCATAGTTTCTGGCTTGACGTTCCTGTGCTTTGCGCATGCATTCCCTCGCTGCTGCAAGCTGTGTGCCGA